TATAATAATGACAATATATTTATGATAATATTTCGTGACAAATGTTACGTTTATTTTACGTCGTTTTTTACACTGACAAAAAATGACCTTAAATCATTGTCATAATGACGTCATCTTACTACTTGGAATACATAGATTTTATGGAAATAATCTTAGTATATTCAAAATGACCACAGTACATTCAGTATAAATACAGAATATTCGTATGATATCATGTGCTACTAAGGTATATTCGGTATATTCTGAAAATGAGCTTAAGAATATACAAGAAATGATATCATCAAGATGTCATATAAATGTTCTCTAATATATTAGGCAATAGTATGTATGACCACACTACTTCAGTATGAAGTATCTACACAGTACTTTCAGTATGAGTAGAATATTCGAATAATATCATGTGCTATTAGGATTATAGTACACATATATGACAATGTAGTAACATTCATTAACCGGATCTATCATATTTTATGTCAAAATTCCGTGTTTACTTATACCAGCATTTCAGTTGCAGGTTTCATCCCATTATAAAAGTTAAATGGCATCGAGCAGGATCCCAAATAGGATGGATGACCGTTTTAAAAACATGCAATGATACAAGATAAAAAATATGTCATCACTTTCTCTCATTTTTTCCATTTTTTTTCACTTATTTACCGTAAGAGGTGTCACGTATATTATAGATTTTCGCGATCTATATAGTTGTTTGGGATATCCTTGCATGATATACTGTTTTTGAACTATTTTCATCCTTTGGCCATACTGTGGGATATTCTCCACTACATATTACGGATTAGATTAATGAGCGGTAGTAACATTCTAAGTATATTCCACAGTATATCATAGTATGTATTTCAAATGTTCGGAGAATATCTTGGATATACTTGTATGATATCCCGTGGAACATTCTCGGAATAAACGCGTACTATTAGAAATATAGCTCAGCACAATACAATACACTATACAAAAGATAACATAAATAAAATTATCTTCTTCATATTAAACTTTTTTCATTTATATTACTTAACTTTATAATTATAAAAAATTATTTCTTCATTTCTTACTATAACATATCCTAAATAAATATAATTTTATTTACTATAATAAATAATCACATTTTCAATTTGTACACATTATAAATCTATTATCAACTAATAAAATTATAATAAATTTACAATTAAATTTTTCTTCAATTAATTATTAAAAATTAATATTCGAATAATAATAATAATTATTATTATCTATTAAACTGTAACTTATTTTAAGCCCTGTTTAAACTACATTTTGATTTAAATTCAAATTAAATACTAAAAATTTTTCAATTATTAATCTAATAATATAATTTTAAAACAACAATATATAAATTTTTATAAACAGATTCATCCTATCGTGGACTATCAATTTACTCAAGTTCCTCTAATTAATTATAATACCGCCAAATTTAATAATTTTAATGATTTCACATTTAATCTCCAGTCCCTTATAAAAAAATATGTGTCTCTTATTTTTGTCTATATTTTAACATATTCGAAATTCATTAAAATCGGGGGAGAGGATACTTGGCTGTGTTCCCTTGTCAGTAATAATTGCTTCATTAAGTAAAATGAAAAAAATGATTTAGGACATTTTTCAAATCAGCTTTTAGTAATATCACTATATAATTCGTGGCCGTTTTTTATGTTTACACCCTGTATATATATATATATATATATATATATATATATATATATATATATAGTATAATAA